ATGTTTTTAAATCACTGAACAGTTCCGTCCCATCCTATCTCACTGATCTTCTGCAGCCATATGTCCCACCGCGCTCTCTGAGGTCAGCAGACCAGATGCTTCTCTCAGTCCCAGAAACCCGTCGTAAGCTCAGAGGTGACAGGGCTTTCTCTGTTGCAGGTCCACGACTGTGTAATGAGTTGCCACTGAGTGTCCGGCAGGCTCCCACACTCTCAGTTTTTAAGTCTCGCTTGAAGACCCACTTCTATTCTCTTGCCTTTAATACGGTGTGATTTGTTTTGGTCCTGTCTGTTCTCTATTCTGTTGGCCATTTTAGTTAGCTTCTGCTGCTATTTGTATCTGTATTTTTATTTTATGTTTTCCTGTCCGCTGTGCATGTTGGTTTTCTCTTGTACAGCACTTTGGTTGGCCTTGTTGCTGTTTTAGTGCTCTATAAATAAATTGGTATGGTATGGTATGGTATGGTATGGTATGGTATGGTATGGTAAACAGGGCTCTCTTGAAAATGAGTTCTCGTGGCTCAATGAGACTACCTGTATAAATAAAGGGTAAATGAAAAAAATGACTGTCGAAACATCAACGCTGAATCAGAAAACCTCCTGAAATTAAACCCATCCATCATCTTTTCCTGCTTCTTCCTTTTTGGGTCGGGGGGGGGGTCACTGGTGCCCATGTCCGGCAGTCACTTTGCGAGGGGCGGGGGACACCCTGGACAGGTCTCCAGTCCATCACAGGGACACACAGAGACAAACGAGACTAAAAATCAACAACAATAATAAACACGCAATAATAATGAATCAATCAAGGCTTAATTCTCTTATCTAAGGCAAAATTGACTCTTTGAGCAGGAATTATTTCAGTTTTATACACGCATGAATTTAGACAAAGTTTGACTATTTTAATAAATAGTTTACTTTGGATTTTGGTTTAAATAAGTTATTTAATCTGGTCAGATAAAGTTATTTATCGTCACTGCACGCCAGGAAATGATTTACCAAGTAGCATCAGCTTAAATAGCATAACCAGACCAAGTGTTGCAAGATGTCACTAGATTTCTGCTTCTTACCAGGTCAGTGCTGATGGCACCTTTCGTCTTTCTGGGGTTCTCTGGTGGATCTGACCAGAGACACCATGAGGAGGACTCGCTGGGAACTGCCCAAGGTAGCTGACCGTCACTGTGACAGCTTCAGAGATCTGTGAGGACAACAGCTGATGAGAAGGTGCACCATCCATCGCATCCTTCAGCCGAGAACGTGAGTCTTGCAGTGAGAAAAGGTTTCATCTTCTGCAGTTATCTAAACTTCTGGCAATTGTAATTTGAGTGACATGTTTATCTGCTCAGGAGTTGAACGAGTGGACCTAAGCATGACCTCCAGGATCAGGTCCACAGACGAACCGTCTTCCGGTTCAGGGCCGGAGATGAACTGCTCAGTTCGGGGGTCCAAGGTGAACTGTTTTTTACACAAAGAGACTTTGTGCAAAACAACAGCTCTGAGAAGAATGTTTTGACTGACTAGGGAACATTGTGGCTCCCCTCTGAAAAAAACAGCTTCCAGCTCAAAGAACTACTTTTTCACAGGTGTCTCTGAAGGCATAATCACTTTCTGAAAAACAGAACAGAGAAATATGTTATTCACATTGTAATATTTCACATGATTTCATTATAATGATTGAAAACAACAATCAAAATTATTCATGTTCACACTTCTTAATCAAATAAAACAAACTTCATTAATGATTTGTTTTTCTTTCTTAGAAACATAGAAAGAAATAAGATAAACATTAGTCAGACTGTAGCTGATTCTGTGTCCAAGGACAGGAAATATGTAGAAAAACATCATACATTGTTAAAGTCAAATGTAACTTTACAGAACACGATCCATGGTGAGTCTGGAAGACGAATAAGGGTCAGGGGTCATAGTTAGAGCAGTGCAGCTTCATGCTACAACAGTATAAGACGAACACCATTCTGACACCCAGAAAAAACAAATAGAGAAATAGGCTGTTGTTTTATTGGAAATTGGAATTTTATTGTTTTACAGGAAACAACACAGCACAACGACTGCTTCACTGAAGGTTCTTAATGACCTTGTTGAAGCACTGGATGTTAAGGATTATTGTGCTGCACTTTTCTTAGACCTGTCTAAAGCTTTTGATACTGTGGATCATAACATCTTGTGTCATAAGCTCTCAGAAATCGGTTTCCAGATCACACCACTGGATGGTTCTCTAACTATCTCTCAGATCGGAGGCAATGTGTTCAACATAATGGTACTTCCTCCAGTTATTTAACAGTCAACAATGGTGTATCTCAAGGCTCAGTCTTAGGACCCACCCTCTTTACAATCTAGATAGGTAATGTAGGTCAAAACATCCCTGATGCATCCTTACATTTCTATGCTGATGACACAGTTGTTTATTGTTGAGCTAAAACAGTTGATAAAGCTTTCCAGCTTTTGCAATCTGCATTTGACATCATCCAGACTGATTTGTTTCGCCTCAAACTTGTCCTAAATGCCGACAAAACCAAAGGGATGTTTTTTTCAAACAGGAAGTCGGTCCCATCAGTCCTTCTTCTGATTTTATCCTCAAATTGGTGTCCCCATTGAGTTTGTTGATTCCTATAAATATTTGGGTATCTTGGTCGACTCGCATCTCTCTTTTAAGCTCCATGTGGAAAACCTAGAAAAGAAACTGAAAGTTAAACTGGGTTTCTTTTTGAGAAACAGATCCTGTCTAACTGAATGCTTGGAAACGCCTTGTATCTGTGACTTTCCTTCCCTCCATTGATTATGGTGACATTATTTACATGAA